GTCCAGAAACCGCTCCCTACTCCTGTCTTGCCTGGCCTTGCGAATCGTGTCTACATTGTGCTGCGCCTGCCTGGCGCTACCGCTGCTGCACCCCTCAGGCTTTCCTCCTACGCTCGCTACCGAGCCGTTGTTGGTCAGCTTGAGTCTGGGGACTCAATTTCCCACGCCTTCGCCTCGATTGCCGAGGCTTCCGTGTATTGCGAGGCCGCTGGCTTCGCTCTCCCGCCTCTCCAGCCAAGATGACCCTGCCCACCCTGGCGGAAGAGGGGCTCAGCCTTCAGGTCCTGACCTGGGACCTTCCCAGCCGATACGTGCAGTCGACGCAGACCTACGCCTGTGACGCGTCGCAGTGGCGGCCTGCTTCTGGCCATTCCTTCAGGCTTCTTGGCTCCTTCGGCCCTGGTCGCCGCACAAGGCGTTGCCGACAATTCTTTCCTGGGACCTTCGCAGTCTGTCCATCTCCCCATGTGTGTCCTCTGGACGAGCAGGGGGAGGAGCAAAGCTTGGACATGGAGGTGCCTGTTCTCCTTATAGATGTGGGAGAAGAGGCCGTAGCCCTGCTGCAAGAGTACACGGGAGAGACCGAGGCCGCGGGCATCTTTCCTTATGTGCCCATGGCCGAGGCAACCCTTGTTGCGGCCCGTCTCTGGCTGTCGGAGGTGGACTCCCAGAGGATGGCTTTTTACTCTGCAGCCGAAGGCCCAGACGAAGCATTAGGGTGGCTTTGCCTCCGAAGCACAAGGCCAATGCCAAGGCCAAGCGGGTCACTACGGCCCAGTTGGCGGACCAGATCTCGACCGTAGCGGCTCAGACCCCTTGGAGCGTGCGGGAATCCCCCTTCCAAGGTGCCCTCCTGCAGCAGACCCAGGCCCTGTCGCTCTTGGTCAACCACCTAGTGGGCCAACAAGACGGGCTAGCAGACCTCGCCTCTTCGGGCTCCGTGGCTTTGAACGCCAGAGTTCGGGGAAAAGAGAGAAGCTGCAAAGCTCCCTGGCCAACCGCTCGGGGGACTTCTACCTTCTTGTGCTCCAGGCTGCCTTCAAAAGGCTTTACCCCTCCATGCCAGTGCCTGCCAGCCTCGAGGAGATGTCGGGCAACATCTCGATGTGTCACTACCTCCGCGAGTTCGGCGGCTTTGCTGGCCAGAAGGAGTTGGGACTGACTATGTGGTCCCTGACGCATGTGGCCGACTGCCTGACAGATGGAGAGACAGCCGGGGCGAGGGAGCACCTAGGCCTTCTGCTCGTTGCAATGGAACAGAGTTGCTTGGACCAGGGTCGCTGGGACCTTGCGTGGCTTTTGACGCTTTTGGAGGACCCGCCGCCCTCGCTGTACCACAACAGGGGGGCGGGTGCAAACCCACGTTCCCGAGTGTTTGCGCCTCTCTGTCCGACCTCCTGGACAACAACTGCGCTTCAATACTTAAAGGAAGTGGCCCGCCGGCTAGAAAGCTTGGGCTTTTCCAGAGCCTCGGCCTCGACGGCGCCCGCTTCGGATCCTGTGGCAGACCCGGCTCCCACGAAGCCGCGCCGGCCTCGCTTTCCAAAGAAGCCGAGGGACCCTCCTGCAAAGTGCATCCCGCCACGGGCCAGCAATGCTTCCTCCCGGTGTGCCTGGCTTCCGCTTGCTTGCAATGCTGGGCTTTGATACAAGAGTCACCTTTGCTTCCTGGACGGGGCGTCTCCTTCGCTCTGTCCTTGGGTCCCGCGCAACGTTTGCGGGTTTTTTGCTTTCTACTTTGCACCTGCCCAGGCTTCCGCCTGAACGGCCTTTCGTGCGCTCTGGCAATCTGTTTCCTTTGCCTGTCCCCTGTCCCGGGGCTTTTTCGCACTTTCCTGCTGAGCTTGGCTCCCGCACTCGGAGGCGCATCATGCACAGGCGCCTCCTGCACATCACCTGCATGGCCCTCAATTTCCTCCATGCCAATTTTGTGCCAATACCTTTGCCTTTGCTTCAGCGGCCCCCCACCCGTGCTCAGCTTCGCCTGATTGACCATGTGGGGAGGCATTTGAAGGCCTTCGGTGCCTATGTCGGTGACAGTTCGTTGCCGGACGCTGGCCGCCGCAATCCCCAATTAATTGCACGCTTGCGTGAGCTGAGTGCTCGTGTTACCCAGCTTGCTCCTAGTGGTTTTGACCGCTACAGCATGCTCGCTGGACACGCTGTTCCCGTTGACAACTCAGCACAGCCTGCACTTGAGCCCTACCGCTCGCTCGATGTCTCCCGGCTTAAGATTTCTGGACTTGGGTCCTTTGATCCTCTGCCCTTTCTGGGGATGAGCTTTACATGGCCTACGTTGAGCCCGACACTTTGCTGCATGGCCTGCAGATGCCCCCCTCTGTCTGCCCTGACTGGTCCCGAGAGAGCATTGACGAGACCGTCTCCTTGGCCAAGCTTTGGGACTCGAGGGGTTTGCTTTACCTTGCCAGGCCTCTGTTCAGGGTCGGGGATGAGTTCCTCCTCTCACGGGCCTTTAACTGCTACAAGAACGAGCAGGTCGATCGTCAGATCATTGACAGGAGGGGCCGCAACCACGCTGAGGCTAGGCTGCCGGGGCCTTCCCGAAACATCCCCACCGGCCCTGGCCTTGCCTGCATCGAGGTCGACCCGAGGAGAGAGACACTCCTGTGCAGCTCCACCGACAGAAAGGATTTCTATCATCAGTTCCTGGTCACGGCCTCGAGAGCTCGTGCGAATGCTGTCGGCCCTGCTGTCCCTGCTGCCGCCCTTGCTTCCACAGGTGCCTTTGCCAGGTTTGAGGTGCCCAGGTCGCGTTACCTCCGTGAGGTCTGGGGCGACTGCCTCAGCCCGGGCCCGGATGGTTTGAAGCCACTCCTGTTCTCCCCTGACTCTGTCGTGGTTTGTTTCTCCGCCATAGCGCAGGGAGACCAGCTCGGGGTTGAATTTGCTTGCGAATCGCACTTCTGTGTGTCCGTCGAGCCTGCGCGTCCTCCAAACCTGCCTGCATCTCGGCCCTTAAGGTTGCCAAAGAAGCTTATGCCCTCTATGGCCTGCAGGGGTCCGATGATAAGGACCAGTAAGGCCTGGAGCTTAGCAAGATAGCCGGAGCAGAGCTGAATTCTTCGGCCGGTGCTCGGGCGCTGGGCCTCGTCACCCTCTCGGCGCCTGCCAAGAAGAGGGCCGCCCTTTCCCTCATCTCCCTCGAGGTGTCTGCTTTGTCACATACCTCTGATGCTTTGCACCTTAGCCTGCTGGGGGGTTGGACTTCTGCCCTCCTCTTCCGGAGACCTCTCATGTCCGTGCTATCCTGCTCCTATGGCCTGGTGCGGGCTGACCGCTTTGACCCTCGCTACCCCAAGCTTGTTGGACTTCCACGCGGGGTCGCGCAGGAGCTGACGCTCCTGGCTGTCTTGGCCTCTTTGGCTTCGAGTGAGCTGTCTGCGCCCTTGGATGGCGCCATTTATGCCACGGATGCTTCCGAGGACAAAGGCGCCTTTGTCACTGCCGAGGCTGGCCTCCCTCTGGCGCGCGTTCTTTTCCGGACCGGCTCCAAGAAGGGGGGCTACTCGCGCCTGCTTGCACCTGAAGAGGCCCTCCTCTCCAAGCTGTCTGACCCTGAGCCTTTCCAACTTAGGGCCGTCGATGCACCGCTTTTGGAGATTGAAAGGCCTCTGGCTTTCGTGTATGACTTCATTGAGGTCTGCGGCGGTAGTGGCCGCGTCTCTGCTGAGCTTAAGGCTCGTGGCTGGGCATGCGGCCCTGTGCTTGACATTTCTCATAGCCCTCACTTCAACCTCTGCTGGCTGCGCACTTTGGAGTGGCTCCTTTTCCTTCTGGAAAACTCCCGACTTCGCTCCTTTGCAGTCGAGCCCCCGTGCACTACGTTTTCTCCTGCGGCCTTTCCGGCCCTTCGCTCCTACAAAGAGCCCAGAGGCTACAACCCACTTGAGGAGCGGACGCTCCACGGCACCACCCTTGCTTTGAGGGCCTTGACTTTGCTTTTCGTCTCTCTTCGATTGGGCGTGCCTGGCATTCTTGAGCAGCCTCGCCGGTCAAAGATGGCCTGGCTTCCGGAGTGGAAGCGCCTCCTTCAGCTTGGTGCGACCGAGGCTTACACTGCCTCTTGTCCTTTTGGCAGCCCTCACCAGAAAGAGTTCCGCTTCTTGCAGGTCTGCATTGACCTTGCGCCGATCTGCCGGCCTTGCTCCAGGGACCACGAGCATG